CCCACTTCCACAGGAACAAAGATGTGAATGAGACACTTCAAAGTGGGCTTCTGAAATCTACAGAAATATAATTGAATCACATAACCTTCCAAGGAAACTCTCACAAGTGGACTCCACTCCATTATCTTGCTAAGGACTAATGCAGTGTCATACTTACTGGGAAATGATACTGGGAAATTCCACAAAACTTTCAAGTAATTACCTCATTAATTAATCGTCAAAAATGTCTAAGATGAATGAATGGACAAAACTGATTTGCATTTTCACATAACAGCATATCTTACAAATATCAAATGGCTTTTACACATCATTACAACTAAAATGAAACCACGGGGAACTGATGTACATGGATGATAGTCATTCTTCTTCCATCATTTTATTTTCGGCTAAACATCAGTAAATTTGCTCAGAACTTGGCTTTTCAAAGTAAGGACGAGGTATCAGTTACATGAATATTAACGAGGAGCTTAGAAATGCCAATTCTCAGGCTTTGTTGGAACCGCATCTCCGTTCAATTCTCCCTCTGCCCAATCCCGCTTCCTATGCCTCCCTTTCCTAGGCATTGATAACGTGTTATGCCCCAGAGAAAAGCAACCACAGTAAATTCCCACAATACAAAACAAAGCATGCCAGGTTTTCATGCACACCGGCACTTGGCAGTATATTAGGCACAGCATACAGATTTGTTGGATGGACTAGTCTCTGTGTCTTGCAAATCTCACCAGCAATCTTTCATATCCAAATTATGTATCTACTAAGTTGTATTTCTCAACTTTTAAGAACCCACTCTCACTTTTGGTAAACATAAAAATGTGATTTACTCTTACTCTCATAGATAGCACACAGTAGTGACCCCTCTAGTTAAAAATCTCTAATAGTGTCAGATCTCTGCATATGCAATGAGGCCAAGAAGATTTGGTCTAAACTTATTTTCTGTAATTTGTATTTGGAGAGTAACAGACTTTATTGGTTTTGGTTTTAAATAAATGGATTTTTTTTTCGGCCAGTCACTTTGCAACCTTCTATCTCTTAACTAGCTCACCTTCTACCCACAGGGCATGTGACCTACACAATCATGTCAGATGGGACCCTGCACTTAGAAAGTCCCTGCATTTGGTTTAATGCCTTGCTATTGCTATCTTGAATTTTTAATAATTTTCAGCAGTGGGTCTTGCATTTTCATTCTGCACAAAATTCCTCAAATTATGTAGCCTGTCCATCTACAGATCTGTTTCTAGCAAGGGGTGCTAATCAGAATCATTTGGGAGAGATCGTCTTTTCCAAATACACATGCCAACTACTGAAATTCTGATTCAAGAGGTGTGGAGTAGGGTTTGTAGGCATATATTTTTAAAAACACACACATTTAAGAAGCAGTTCTCTGTAGGAATTCTACTTCATGACTGATCATGTTGACTGAAATATGTTCTGCCAAATAATGAAAGCTCTTGATAGCTTTTAAGTAGGAGGTGCATTACTTAGTCTCTCATAGCTTTTGGAATTATATATCTTATCATCTAAAACATTCTTATTTTTCTATTTAAAACATTTTTATTATTAAATATTTGTTTTTCTTTTTATAGCTTATTACCAGTCTTGATTTAAAAGTTTTGAGATTTTTTTCCTCATGCATTTAAATCTCTATATATTTAAATCCCTAATCTATATGGAATTCTTATCCTACCAAATCAAAGTATTACTTTTATCAAAAATTAAATTAATTTCTAGATTTTTCTTTCAATTCTAGTGATCTATGTTCTGGATGTCTGTAGGATACCTGAGGGGAAAAGGAGGGAGGAGTAAATTTGTTAAAAAGTAAAATTTGTCATAAAATGCAAGTGAGAGGTGATTTAAAACATACACACAATCTATTTATTTTAAGGTCCCCAGAGGAACAGATTAGCATACATAAAGGTCTAAATCTTGCGACAGAAGCATGGGACGCATACACAGCATATATTATTATTGCTGTGCTAATTTTACTTGATGTCTGCAAATCAGCCTTGGGTAAGTTAGAGCTGAGGTCTGAGACTCAAATTACAATTTAACAAAGAATTTTGAAAGAATGGAAAAACGGTTGACACAGATAGCCATCATGCCTTGCAACATGGATGAACTAAAAAGGTGAAAGATATTTATGGAAATAACAGATATCTTGAAGATACTAAGAACATACACATCACCTAAGTGGAGATAAGACCTGTTTCCCGACAGATTTGAGGCACTTTGCATACAGTTGTTACAACAAGTATTGCCAGTGCTTTTGTGTTTTCAAGAAGCACCAACAGTTTGCCTTAACTGCGATGGGGACTTTGTACTGTTTTTGTAATACAATCTTTCTTTTGAAATTACCTACACTTGTATTTGTGGAAAATATCACTGCTAACTGAATTTCATAGATTAAAAGACTTTTGCTTAGAATGTAGAAAACTGCAAGAAAATTGATAAGTAATATACATCAATTTTTCTTAAACCCATCGAAGAGCTGAGGCCCCAAGAGAACCAACAAAATAAATTCTAAAGGGAGGCAAGTGCCTGCAAGGAGAGACAGACTGTTTCACTTAAGTAAGCACAGGACAAAGAAGTGGCCACCATACAAGCAGGTAAGAGGTCAACAAGACTTGCAATGAATTATTAAGGCCAAGTGTGGGCTAGCATGTCTGTTTCAAATAGCTGGAGGACCCAGTCACAAACACTCTTCCCCCAAATCCTCCAGAGTGTTCACAAGAAGGAAGACGAAGAACAGGGTGGAAAACTGCACATACCCTGCCCCACCCTCACCTATCCAGTGAAGTAAACAGCAATGTGCTCAGATGCCAATAGCAGAGGGTGAGGAACCCTCCCACCCCTAGGGCATAGACAAAACTCCACTGTGTCTAGGAGGAATGAGAGCAAAACTCGCTGCCTCTGAAAGAAGGCAGGAACCCTCATCCCAGCACACAGGTGGATATCCTTATGCCCCTAGGAAGGGGTAAAAGCAAAACGGCTCTATTCACAGGGGAGAGGTAGGGAAGCAGCTCAGGCCCAGGAGCCTTCATTTCCAGCCAGAGGAGGTCTTCTATTGCTGGAAGAAGCAGGAAACCTTCTCTAACCCAAGATCAATGCAGATACAAGACAGCTTGGCTGCCAAGGGAGAGGAAAGGCAGAAATGCTGGAAAAGCCTCACCCCAAGGCCCAGGAGCACAGGCCCTGCATAGGAGGACTACAGTTGTGCCAGGACAGCCATAAGCCTAGTATCAAGGAGCCAGCAACTGTGGTCCTATGCTGGAGAGGCAAAGGGACAGAGTGAGGCTCCCTGTGGTGTACCTGTGTAGATCATGGGTGGAGAAGAACACAGGGCCCAGCCCCAGACCCACCCTAAGCACAGGAACAGCATCCTACTACAAAAGGAATCCACAGCCTATGGTACACTGAAGCCCAAAGGCAGGTCAAAATTTGGCTAAGTTCAGTCAACTCTGCACATAATGGCATGCCAGAACAAGTGTACCATTTCCAGGTGTAAATACTATTTACCTGACACTCTACCCATGACTGGTATTTGTGCAAAATTTGTCAAGAGACAGTTAAGAGTCCAAATCAGTGGTGATTCAGATATTGGAACTATCAAACAAGTACTTAAAAATAATAACTGTATTATTTATGGTGAAACCATATGTTACCAACAGCTTGGTGAAATAATATTTAAGTGATATCCAAGAGGTTTTATATATATATATATATATATATATATATATATATCTCATATATCTTGTCCAACAGGATAATTTTGAGATGTTAATGTTCTGCTCTGTTATTTTTCCCTTCTTCCCCACTACAAACAAACCAGGACCCTGATTATTTCTTTGACTCAGGAATGTGAACAGACTAGAAATATCCACTTGTGGTTGATGACTCTTCCAGTCTTTAGGGAAGGCCCAGATTAATGGATGGGGCAGCTCAGGGAAGCGACAGGGGAGTGCCTAGAGGGGAAAAGAGAGAAGAGGAAGAAAATGCCCACCCAACTCCAGACTGGGAAGACTTCAAGGATTTGTGCGTTCCATGAGTTTGACCTGAAGGGCTCCCTCCCCAAGGCCTTGGTAGTGCTCATGACCCTGGAACCCCAGCACAATTCTGAGTTTGTGTGTTGGAGTGAGGGTAATCCCCAATAATGACTGAGACAAAGTTCCTGCTATTCCAATATGATAGGGACTGCCAGATTCAAAATGAATTTTGTTAAGTTGTGATAGTACATTCAGGAGTAATAGGAGTCATACCCACACCTTTGTTACAAAGTGTCTATCCTTCATGTGATAGTTTACCTTTTTTATTCATGTTCTGTGTAAGCCTCTCTTAAATGTGGATTGGAACTAGTAACTCACTTCTAATTAATAGAATTAATAGCAAAAGTGATGGGATGTCCTGAGATCAGGTTTTTAAATTTTAACTTGATTTTCTCTCTCTCTTGCTCTCGCGCTAGCTTGCCCTGATGAAGCCAGTGGTCATGCTGTAAACTATGATATGTATGGAAAGGCACATGTGGCAAAGGGCAGCCTTTGATCAACAGGACATGAGAAACTGAGGCCTGAAGTCCAACGACCGGAGAGGAACTAAATCTTGCCAACCACCACTTGAGTGAGCTTGCAAGCAGATCTTTAACCGAGACAAGTCCTGAGACAATTACATCCCAACCAACGCTTTGCAGCTTTGTGAGAGACCCAGGACCAGAGGACCCAGCTAATCCACTCCCAGATTCTTAACCCAAGTGAGTGGTAAGATAATATTGTTTTATGCTTTTGGTTTTGGGCTAACTTATTATGCAGCAATTGACAACTCAAAGATTTCCCCAAAGAAAGCAAAAAAGAGAAGGAATTAAAACACATCTATCTACATGTGATATTTTTATCTAAATTAAGTCTAGTCAGTGGTTCTTATGCTTAAGCAAGTGTGCATATCAGAATAACCCAGGGCTAAGGAGAGTGTCAGAAGGGAGAAATGTATGGAAAAAGTGGGGCAACAAATACCTAGGAAGACAAAATCCATTTTGTTCCAACGAGTTTCCAATCCCTGAGCCTCTGGTTCAGTCCATGGCAGGTGAGGCTGTCAGGGTCACTGTCCCAGGGTTTGGTCTCCTTATAACCAAAGGGCTCTGGCTCACCACACTCCTTATGTGGTCCTTCAGGATCCTTTGGTTTCTTGATCCTATATACTATTTGGATTTGGTTTCCAAATTGCATTGAAGACAAATGACAGTGAAGAGGGACACTATGGTGTGATCAGCAGAGTCTTATACCCAGTCCTTGATCCGAGACAGGTTTAGCAGTCGGATTTTGGAAAATGGCTCCAGCTGGATCCTGCAAAAGCTCATAGAACATTCCATGTTTAATTCATTTGTTCTGCCCTAGCAGAGCTTATAAAACAGTTCATGGCAGTCCTGACACAGAGTACAGTGAATGTCCCTTTCATATTATGTATAGTCTCTTCACAACTCCTTGCAGCTAATGAGACCCATAAGCTAGCCAAGTGGGTAAAGTTTCATTTTCATTCCTATCACCTTTCCCAAAACTACTAAGCAAAATTTCAAGTCATTCTCAGAAGGGGCTGGCATAGTTAGAGGTTCTAACAATCTCTAGCATAATAAACATCAGTGAGGAAAAGAAAGAGGACATTAGATTTGATTAGGTATTTTTAGACTATATTGACCTTTACAGGAGAAAGGCCTTTGGTCAAGAAACCAGAAAATAACACTTCTTCTCAGGTGGCTGAGAAACAATTTAGTCATGGAAAGCTCTCATAATTAAATATGGGGTAACAACCATTAAAAAACAATTAGACATTGGCCTCTACTTCAGGACGTCCCATTATATTTCCTTCTGATTGCAGATCCTATACCTCAATCTATCTCATCAGAACATATCAGGAAAGTCTAAAACAGTGATGCCAAAGACATAAACTGCTAAATTTAAGATCTGATGTAGGCAGATAGGGTAAGTAGGATGATACAGAAAGGATAGTGTATCTCATCAAACCTAAGATTTTTTTATACTGGTACTTCCTTGATTTTACCCAAAAGTGTCAATGGAAGCTTTCACACACACAGATCAAAACCATTACCTGGCTGACATCAATGATAAAATTCATCCTGATTTCAAAGATACTAAAATGAGGGGAAATGTCCATCTTAGAATAGATGACAATACTTTCAGGTCTTGGGAACAGAAGTGATTTTTACCTGAGGTGTCCAGCTTCTGCCCAATAAACCTGTGTAACTTCTCAGGCCTGAACATAGGCAACTTCATAGGCTTTACCTGCCAGGCTGCAAAGGACACAGCTGCCCTCCCCAGATCAGATTGCACTGCAAGTTGTTGCAGACAAGGACTCAAGCCCCACTGGCTGGCCATGCTCTTAACACTATCTGCATTCCTAGCTCAGGCATCTCCATTTGGAGGTCTCTGTATGGGGAAAAACTGATAGACAATCTTCTTCACTCTCAGTACTTTTTCACTCCTAGTCCTCCCATCTTTCTCCTCCCACCTGCCAGGTCCATAAATCTGCAGGCGCCTTTTGTTTGTGGCTCCCTCAACCGTGAGACAATCCCCATCCCCCAGTCTGTGCTGATCCATTTGACCTTCAATCAGTGGGCCATTCCACAGGCAGAAGTAGAATGGGAGCATCTTTCTCTGGTTTAGGCTCTAGTTTATACAACAGAAGGTTAAGTGATTAAAGACTCGACTGTCCCATTCACTTTGGCTTGTTTAATCCAGTACTCCAACATCTGGTGGCTCAACTCAATCTCTCCAGCTCAACTGAGCTTCTGCCAATACTCAAGTCAAGCAAAATGCAGTAAGCAACTTGAACACAAAGCATGGGAACAGAAGTTCTTAGGAAGGTTTTTCCATATTGTTCTTGTTTTCTGTGTACTTAAGCAAATGTTGAGCAATCATATTTATTAAACAGAGCTGGATTGGCTGGACATGACAAGACTCATTAGTCAATGGGAGACAATTCACAACACTGTAGATGTAAATTTGGATGATTAAATTTGGTTCCTATGAAAAGAAATTCAAGGAAGGGAGGAAACACCATGAATTATAGTAATCAAGGAAGCTTTTGTGAAAGAAGTGCAACTGGAGTAGTACAATTTGGGTAATTGGTGGAAAAGACATATGGATGTTAGAGTGTAAGACTGCCATTCTCAAAGAATATAAAAAGTCCTTTGTCCACACTGAGGAACATTTTGCAAGTTACATTTCCTTGCAAATTAGATGTATATGCCCCTATAGAAACAAAATAGGTCCCTCTGCAGAATGACATAGAATGGGATAATTATTTTTCAGAATTTCAACCTTAACTCTTTTGAGTACATTTGAAAGGAAAGGAGCAACACACAGCAGCACTTCACCGGAGAAAATCCGCTTTATTAGGGAAAGGTGCTGGGTTATATAGGAAGGGGCATGGTGTGATTGTGGTGTTACTTCTACGGGGCTGGTGGCTATTGGCAAGGTGCTGGAATTGGGAGGGGGGAGAGAGGTGATTGGGCTTCAGGTGGCGCCGGCGGGAACTGAGGACCCCCTCCCCCCAAGAGAAGCCGGAAGTTCGCCATCTTACTGGTGGGGCCCTTCAACATTCATTTTCCCTTATATTCAACAAATTCAAACCAATGGATTACAGAAATATTTTAATATTTCTTGAATATTTTCCATCAGAGTTGAATATTTTCCACCATAGTTGTTTAGCTAATCCATTATGTGGCAGTTAATACTCAACCTGACCAGAGTTGCCACCTATTGGACTGGAAAGAGGCATCCTCCAAAAAGGTACAGCCATCCTCTAAATAGCTGCACACTGAAGACTTATTAGGAATAATTAAGTTTGGGAAGTAAAACGTTTAAGAATAAAAATTTAGCTTTGTAATCCTGACTTCCTTCCAGCTGTTCAATTAAATTAGCTCACTTAAGCCTCACTTGCAACTCCACCTGCTTTAAAATAGCAGAAGACCTTTCACCAAAACATTTTAAGGCATAACAGAATGGTTTTATTACATTATTATCTGTGCTGCTGTGGTTATGCCTACAGCATAGTCAGGCTGCAGAAAGCAGAGAAGCAGCAGATGTCTTATTTAAGATCCTTTTAGCAGTTCATGCAGATTCCTTGCTCTTTGAAGCAGATCAATAAGTTGTCTTGACTCAGTTTACTTCAGAAGCCTGCTGACTGTCCTGAGAACATCCCACTTCATCAGTATTGGCAGAGACTACTAGCTGATTCCCAGCTTCCTGGGCACACAGATGAGGCTACATTTCCCATTCTCCCTTTCAGTTAGATGTGACTAAGTTCTTAACAGTGGAATGTAAGAAGAGAGTAAGTCATTTCCTTGCCTGATGCATAAAAATCTCCCATATAACTACTTCCTTCCCTGTCCCCACTTTTTCCTTCTCTGGTTTGATAAAGAAAAACATAAAGACCCTGGAAGCCATGTATCAAAGACTGCAGAGCTATATGATAAAAGTCTGGAGTCCTAAATAACTATTTAAGAGGTCCCCTACTTACCAGGAAAACCCCTTTTGAAAGGTGAGCAAAAAACATACTTCCATCTTGTTAAGTTACCGAAATGCTGGGGGTTGTAACAGCAGCCAGTATCACCCTGATACATATAATCAGTAACCCAAAGTCTAAGGGTAAACCATTTTCAGAACTCTTGGTATCACCACTGAGTAGCAGCATAGCATCTCATTCCTTGATTTCACTTTTCTCCACTCCATTTTACCACTCCCAGGTGTACTGTTTGCAAGAATGTAACAGGCAGACATGTAAACAGGTGAAGAAAGAAAGAAATACCCAAAAGGCCTATGAAAAGGTGCTCAACATCACTAATCACTAGGTAAATATAAATTAAAACTACAGAAATGGCTAGAATTAAAAATACTGGCAATATGAAGTAATGGTGAGGACGTAGAGCAAATGGAACACTCTTACACTGCTGTAGCTGTATCAGTGGTACAACAATTCTGGAAAAACTCTTTGGCTGTTTCTAATAAAGTTAAACATATACCTACCCTATGATCCAGCAATTCCATTCCTAGGAACATACTTAAGAGAATTGAGAGCTTTATGGTCACCAAAATGTAGAAGTATATTCATAGAAACTTTATTCATAATATTTAAAAAAACTGGAAACAACTCAAATGCCCATTAACAAGGAATTGGAAAAACAATTTGTAATATATTCACATTAACAGAACACTGCATAATAAAAAAGAAACAAACTACTGATATACACAACATAGATGAATCTCACAGATATTATGTTGAACAAAAGCCAGACATAAAAGAGGGCATATGCTATGATTCCACTTATATGAAGGTCAGGAACAGGGATATCTAAATATGGTGATAAAAATTAGAACAGTGTTACCTCTGGGCAAGGGAGACTATCAAAAAGAGGCAAGAGGGTGACGGAAATGTTACATATCTTCATTTGGGTGATGGTTGTAAGAAGTGTACATGGATAAAAATTTAAGCCATACACTGGACATATGAATTTTATTATATGTAAATTTTATTTCAAAATAAAAAATTAAAAAGTTAACTTGTCCTGTAAGAGGTTGAGCTAGGATTCAAACTTAGGTCAGTTTGAGTCTTCACTACAGCAGGGTTCATTATCCTAATGAAATAGATATAAAGATGAGAAAACAAGAAGGCTCTGTAATTATCTCATTTAAGTATGTAATTAAAATCACTCTCTTTACATACTTTATTTATAATAACCACACTATGATAAAACTGTACCTATTTTGGTACCAAAACCTTCTATAGTCTACTACAAATGCTGGTATTAACTTTGTGGCACTATAACAACAGTAATTCTGTTTATAGGATTGAAATAAATCATTAGAATCACACTTTCCACCATCCCAGATGACTGATAACCTAATAAAATAGTTCTGCTGAAGAACAAACATGTCAAGATGGAACTGTCAGAACTTGCATTGCATTTAACTGGCAAGAACACGTAAGCTGATTAACATGTGTGGATTATCTTGAATAAACCTCCGGTGGTGGAACATCCTAAAATTGATAGACAACTGATAGTTGAGGTATATAGTAAGATGCCAAAATCGTCAATTAACAAGCATCACTCTTGCCCATGTGATACTTATGAGACCCAGTTACTGCAGTTCCAAATATGATCTCTATCTTGTTTCTCAACTATCTAACATTGATAAAGCAGCTAATGCAACCCTAAAATAAGACTTGAGCATTCAAAATACAAGTGGACCAGCATTCAGCTGTTACCCTGCATTCTTCCAAAGGCTGCCTCTCTTCAAAAATACTTTTAATTGCATGCACTGGGATGGAGATGAACGTGGAGAAAAGTCCAGTACTGTCTTCCTTTTATATATGAGCAAAATATAGGTATTGAGACCTAAAGCATATCATTGATAGGGCTAGGCACTACACAAGTCAACAAATAAAGCCAATGTTAAGGCCACTCCACATTCAGTGTATTAGGATGGGTCATGCCCATCTTGTTATACAACGGCTCTTCTCTCTACGTAAAAGTTTTTAAATATTTTAAAGTGTTTTGATTTCTGTTGAGAATGGAATTCCCTACAGGGTAACTCCTCTCCCAAAACTGAGATGAAAATTAAAATAGACATATACAAAACTTTGGGATAATTAATAAGTTCATATATTCAGAGGGGAGGAAAAGTTGGGCTTTTTTCCTAAATGGGGAAAAAGAATTCTAGTTACACGTGAAACACTAAATGTAGAAAACACTGAAACAGACTAAAAAGTCTTTCAAGGAATTCTCCCGTGCAACATCCTCCACAGAAATGTAAATTCCAATGCCCTTCGACATTCGGGCGGTCATCCTATAAATCACAGCAAAACAATTAATCAATCACTCAAAGAATGAAGTTTACCTGACTCGTCAGCTCCCAAATTCAGAGAGAAGTACCGTCTGCTCACTTGAATTTCCAACGTCCGCAGCATCCCGGTTGTCCACCCGTCCTTCCTGACATGGAATTCCTCACTGGCACCACCACATCTGTCTCTAGAGCGGGAGTCTTTATCTGAGGTTCCCGGGCCCTTTGGGTGGGTCAATGAAGGATTTTACAGAGGTGGATAAATCCCGAGATTGCATGAAGAACTTGGGTCTCTCAGTGCTAGCCCGCCCCGGGCGCACCGCGCACCGGGGCGCTTTGCCAACCTCCCGTTCCGCCCTGGCGGAAGGCTCCCTGCCCCGCCGTCCCAGCCCTCACTAGCTGTCCTTTCCCGGCCACGAGCGAGCGCTGCCAGGTCGCGGAGAGGAAGGACCACCGCGTCAGAGCCGCCTCCGCGAGTCCGAACGCAGGCGGAAGCCGCTTCCCAGCACCCGCAGCTTCACTGGGGCCCCAGCCGCGCGCAGCTGCCTGTCTGCCGAGGCGCGGTTCTCTCCCAGCTGATCAAAAGTAAAAGACGCCTTTCCTCACCGTCAGCGCCTCTGGGCAAAATGTGAGTCCATTGTGGACAACCTCTTACAAAGAGGTACTAGGTACGCAGCTGGGCGTGGGGCGTAATGGGGGCACCTNCAAAAGTAAAAGACGCCTTTCCTCACCGTCAGCGCCTCTGGGCAAAATGTGAGTCCATTGTGGACCTCTTACAAAGAGGTACTAGGTACGCAGCTGGGCGTGGGGCGTAATGGGGGCACCTAAAGCCAACGAGAGCATAAGCAGCTTCTGCCCACCACAGCATCCTGAATGCTGGCAAGAGGCTGAAGTTTTAATGGGCCCTCAGAAGATGCCTTCAGGATTACATGGGTACCCCATTTTCAACATATTTAAAAATCTATGAAGGCATACAAGCCAAGCAAAATGAAAAGCTGTCTTTTCCCAGATGAGGGGATCAATAGAAAGACAACTCTACAAACTGCTCAAGTGTAAAGCTAAGGTAAGGTGGAGGGGGTGAATTTCTGACCACTGCTGCCACCCTACATAGAAATGTTAAAATCAATGTGTAACAATTAAATAAAAAAAACCATTACTACTGTACTCTAACCAAGACTGTAGGGACACATGGAGTAGGCAGGTCATCTACCCTATGTGAAATCAGGACCACTTCTCACCTTCATTCACTTCTACATCACTAGACCCAAACCCTCACATGTCTAGCTGATGCTTGACAGTCCACATTTTGAGCTTCAGACTTTGGCTTACGCCAGACCCATTAAAACGCCAAGGATTCAAGGGAAGAAAAGCTAAGCTTTATTACATACTGAATCTCAACCTATACATGCCTTCTCCTGACAACAGTTCTTGATGAACATTTGAGAGAGGAAAAGGCACCAGGCAGGGGCTGTGGGGAGGGTACAAAAATAGGACAGATGGCTGAATTTTACTAAAGCTAGCATTCAATATACAAACAACTTGAAAGCAGACTCATGAAGGCTTAAGATTTTTGATGCTAAGCAGCAGGAAAACAAATGCTTAATGTAAAAAATGATTCCTTAGGTGAAATTCCAGGGATTAAAAAGCAGAAATTTCACTATTAAGCAACATTTGGAAAAAAAGAAAATAAGACAGCTCTTGGAAACAAAAAACTGCTTAAAAAATCAAACAATGAAAGACAGTAAAAATCCCTCCAGGACATAACAAGCAAAAAGATGAAAAACATGAGACATGAGATATGGAAATCTGCAGTTCTAGCATCTATTAGAAGTTCCATAAAAAAAGAACAGAGAAAACTTGGAAAAAATTATCCAAGAAATAATATATAACACCTCCAGGACCAGAAAAGGATGATCTGCAAAACACACCAAGTACTAGCCTGAATTAAAAGGCCCACTCAATTTTTCAGAACACCAATATCTTTTGAGATCATGCTTCCAGAGAATACTAACTTTGAATCTAGTAATGTAATAATATGGTGAAAGGGCATGTTTATTCTTACAGAAAAAAAAAAAAGAAAGAGAAAGAAAGAAAGAAAGAAAGAAAGATAAAGAAAGAAAGAGAGAGAGAGAGAGAGAGAGAGAGAGAAAGAAANGTTTTGATCGATTTTCATTTGACCCCAACATACATAATTCTCCCTGGAAACAAAGAGGTCATAAAATTGGAAAAACAGTAAAGGCAATCAGAATGTGTTAATTGGCCCATTTAGCAAGCAATATTTACATAATGTAAACCCTACTACTGATTATCAATTTTAGAATTGATATAACTGGACTTTATGAAATAGAATGAAAATGTTAACTTTGTACAGAAGTTGCAATATAACCAGGGAGACTTTATAAAATAGAATGAAAATGTTAACTTTGTAGAAGTTGCAATATGAAAATCAGTAACAGAAGGAAGGAGAAAGGTGCCTTTATCATCTCACAAAACATACTTCCAACTAGATTACTTAGTTACAGAGCAACTAAAAGTGAGGTGAGTTAAATCCTTACCTATAGTACATAAAGTCAAAAGCAGTCTAAACTTGGTGAGACAAAAATAAAATACGTGATGGCAGCCAACAGAAACAGTTAAAGGCAGTTGAGTGTGGGATGTACAACAGAAATCATATGTGTATCTCTTACTTTGATGATTTTACAAATCATTCATATCTATACCTAGAAATGAGGTAAATGAACATAGGGACATTTATGGTTGGCTTGTAATGATAGGATTATGTATCATTACCTTTCCCTTTTTACATTTGATTCAGTAATGCTATTAAGATAATTTGACAAATCAAATTCAAAAATACTTTAAGAGCAATCAGGCCAGCTATAACCAAGCTGCTCTTTGAGGATATGAAGAAAAAAAAAAAAAAAAGACAGAAATGTCCAATGGAGGAGCATATAGACAAACACCTTCATTCAGCCTTTCCCAAAAATGAGTTTATGGAGATCAAGTTAAGTATTTCCCATATTTTTATTAGCTGAACTTCCCTTTTTGAATTGTCTGTCTGTTCTTTAAGCATTCACCTATTGCTATCCTACAAATACACATATAAAGAACTACACACTGATAGTCCATTGTAGTGACAGTGGTATTATTCCTCATCTGCTATTCACTTTTAATAAAAGCAACTAAATCCTTTTGTGATCAAATTTGTTCATTTCCTTCATGATTTCTGATCTTTAAGTTTAAAGTCAACTTAACATCAGATTTCAAAGGCTTAATATTTAATGTTTTTTATAGTTTTAAATTTTTATAATTCACACAGAATTTTGAATATAGCATGGGGTAGGTTATCTAACTAATCCTAACAACATCTTTTCATATGTGATGTTTCATTTATTAAGCAAATTCCTATAATAAGATATATGTTGGGGACATGTTGCTTTTGAATTTTTTTTTAAGTGAACACTGACATATATATAACACTGATCATTTTTTGTCTCCCCAAAATTTACACCTCACTTGTTTTATGTCTTAGTGTTTTGGTTCACTCATTTACTGACTTAAGAACTTCTCACATTCTAATAAATACGTTAAGTTGAAGATATGTAATGGTAAATGAAAAAAAGATTCTTCATTAATCTTAAAATATGACATATTATGGCAAAAGTGAGCAGCATTGTTTCTTATTGATAATAGCTTGAGTTTAAAGAATGATCTTCATTATTTAATATATGTATTAATGTACATTATACCATAATATTTATGTTTAGACTTTTTGTTCACTTCATTGGTCTCCCAACTCAACAAAATTTAAAATAATGAACTATGATATGTAACAAAGAATAATTAAAAGTGCTACTGGAAAACTTAAGGGGAAAAATGTTTCATCCTTTATTTTCAAGGAAAGTTTACATATTATAAAAACAGACATTTGTTATATCATTGAGTACAGAGCTCACATAGCAAACATTTAACCACTTTTATCACATATCGGATGATCTAGAATCAAAATTGTCTTAACAGGCTTGTGTCTTTCACTGCTTCATGAAAATCATGTTACCATATTTTAGTGACACACTGTAAGGTTTCCTTTTAAGTAAAAATGAGACCTAATAATTTTTAACCATGCTATTGCTTGTAATAGGATCCATAAACACTATACTAAGACTTAGCATTTAGACATGAAACATGTCTAAAACCTCTGAAGAATACACTAGAAATAAGCAAGACATCTATAATGCTTTAACCTTTCCAGGCAATACCATTTATATCAGTAACTGCAACACTGTAACTTTCAGCATTTCACATAACTAGTCAGGATATATATTTTTTTAAGGGTGGGAGTAAGAACAGAAGGACAAGAGATACAAGTGTCAGGTTTCACATTTCTGTTAAAAGCTCAAAAATCAAAACTATTGTCTTCTCTGCATCAAAACTGTACCACAAACTTGAAGGCTGTTTCAGCTTTAATCCCATGACTCATCATCTACTGGATCGGGAGCTTGTAAAGAAGAAAACCCTGTTGTGTAGAAAGCGCTCTTGCCCTTGTAATTCTTAAGAAAAAAAAGGAAGAAGGAAACATTTAATTTTATGACATCTCTAAAATTACAATGCCCAGAGAGCAGGGACTCAAGCTTTCTACCATGTTTTCCCCAAATATATATACATATATGTAAAACGTTCTTCTCACTAAATTCAATCCATCTGAAAAAAGGCCCATATAACCTTGGAGGTCTGAACTGTACACAAAATATTTCAAGAAAAAACTTTTTTAATCCAATAGTTTTGACAAGTAAAAAAACTTAAAAGCTCTACACTTCAGTGATTAAGCATAAATATTCAATGACTAATATGCCCATTATTTCTGTATAAAAGTGGTGATGCCTATAAACTGACACATAAGATCTGTAATTCATTATCTCAAGTCTTTTATCTTAATTAATAATATAGTCAGAATTCCAAAACTAAAGAATTCCTACAGAAAATTTGTAAGATCCCTAATCAGAATTTAAAATGCCAGCAAACCTAGGAAAAGAAGATATTTGAGCATAAATTTCAAAGTTAATTCCTCACCTTTAAGACCAAAAATATATAGTACACAGAATTTCAGAAATACTAAAGTAATCTTCTAGGTCTGAAAATAATGACTGAAATTATTGGATGTTTAGTTACTTCACATTATTAAGTACAACATTCACAAAGAGAAACTGTAAGCCAAGTTTTGAATTTTTCCCCTCAACTAACCTTTCTAGTATCAACTGATGCAAACACATTTCCTCTTGTACTACCACTGGAGCCAGGAACATGTGTACTAAAGGCAATTTCTTCCAACCATGCAGGAACATCTTGTTGAGCCTTAAAAAAAAATTGACTTCATATACCACATGCTTAATAAAATCTCAAAGATTGAACAGTTTTCTTTTCCTGAATATATGTATATATAAAATGTCTACTTTTAATGATAAGGAACACCATCACTTCAGTTTTAAAAATTTGGAACTTACATCTGACAATACTTTCACCAGAGGCTGTGCT